GATCTGGAGAGGGCACTCTATGCGGACCGACATGCGGTTCAGCTTACGCCGACAGACGATCCTGAGCTCCCGCGGTGGCTGAGCAACCTCGCGAACTCTTTCCGCTCTCGATATCAGCACTCCAGAGACGGCGACGACCTTGATAGTGCACTGAAGGCCATTCAAAATGCCGTTGAACTGACTCCCGACGGCCATCCAAATAAGTTAGTACGAATCCAATACTTAGCTCGTTGTTGTGCCTCTCGCTTCATGCAACATCGCACACAAGAAAACTTCGACGAAGCCATTTTAGTTTATCAAAGTGCAATGGATCAGCCTGTGGCAAATCCTCAGAAGCGGTTTGAATGTGCTGAAGCGCACATGCGATTTTTGACGGATAACCCTCAATTCTGTACCCTTGCTGCGTCGCTTTCCGCGCATTCGCGCGTCGTGGACGCACTCCCCGAACTTGTCTGGTTCGGTCACAGTGTTCAGCGTCGATTCGAAGACTCTGCTCAGGTTGGGAAGCTCGTCAATTCGGCCGTGTACGTTGCTATCGAGAGCGGGGAACTCAGGCAAGCTGTGCGGTGGCTTGAAGCTGGCAGGAGCCTCATCTGGACACAGATCGCATCCTTACTAGGCCCCATGGACGATCTCGAGGAATGCCATCCTGATGCTGCAAACGAGTTGCGCGAAGCTCGACAGAGACTACAGCAACTTGGCACAGCCGCTCAGATCGGTATGCACGCGCCGACCGCCGTCGTTCGGCGTCCTGCACACAGTGACCCCACGACTCCCCGTCACTATGTCCTCCCTATCGAAACGGCTTCGGACCACTATCAGCGAGCGGCTATCGGCTATGATGCACTTTTAAAGAAGATCCGCTCTTTAGCTGGGTTCCAAGACTTCATGCGGCCCAAACAGTTAACGGATCTCGTTGCGTCACCCGCATTCCGCCGCTTGAGTGCAACCGCCGTTGTTTTCATCAATGTTGCCGAGGCATCTTGCGACGCTCTCGCCCTTTCCAAAGATGGCTCTGTGAAACTCGTTCAGCTTCCAGCTCTCTCACTGAAGCGCGCGGAGAAGTTACGCTCGTTATGGACCGTGCATGTTGGCCTTCGCAGAGGTCACAGACGCGGAGAGATGCCTCGAGCTGTCGTGCGGAACAGACACATACACTCGATCTACGTTCGCATACTGAGTCTGCTGTGGTCATGGGTCGTACATCCGATCCTACAAGAACTGGGTCTTGTGAGTAATATTGATTTTCATCGCGATACAGAGGTTGATGGATGCGGACGCAGATCACAGAACCGTCAGGGGAACCATCATCACACATCGTCTGGTGCCCCACGGGACCTCTCACTCAGCTACCGTTGCATGCGGCAGGGAATTACAACCAAAGGGAGCCACGTCTCCGAGTCTTCGACTTCGTCATGTCGTCGTACACTCCATCCCTCTCGGCGCTGCTCAGATGCCTGGGAAAGGACGTATCCGGGACTCTTCCAAGAATGTTGGTCGTCGCACAATCTTATACTCCTCGTCTCGGGTCGGCGCCTCTGCCATGTGTACGCGATGAGACTAATCGTCTTCGCGCGATCATGCCTGGAGAAGGCCACGAGTTCTTCGAGGACGAGCAGGCATCGGTCGAACCCACGCTCGCCGCAATTAAGCAGCACAGCTGGGTGCATTTCGCATGCCACGGCTCGCAAAACGCGAAGGATCCGACTCTGACCGCGATCGAGCTGCACGACAAACCTCTCACGCTGGGGACGCTGATACACAACGTCTCCGAGAACGCGGAGCTGGCATTTCTTTCAGCGTGCGAAACGGCCGTGGGCGACGAGAAGATACCGGAGGAGTCGGCGCATCTGGCGGCAGGGATGTTGGCGGTCGGGTTCAAGGGGGTAGTGGCGACTATGTGGTCGATTCAGGACCAGGACGCCCCGATCATCGTCGAGGCGTTCTACAAGAAGTTGCTTGAGCTACGCGCGTCTGGGGATATGCCGTTGGGACATACCGGCGCGGCGCGTGCTCTGCATCATGCGACAATGGTGCTGAAGGATAAGGTCGGCGAGGGCAACTTTGAGCGATGGGTTCCGTTTGTACATTTCGGCGTCTAGTCTGGTTGATTGAGATTCGTTAGTTATGCGTTTGACTTCGATATGGGTCACGGGAAGCCATGTAACTTTGCTTTAGAACGTAGTCGGGTACGCGAGGACGCTCCACAGACCGTGCGCATACGCATGGGTCGTACTTCAAGATCAACATATTGAGATAGTAACGCAAACGCAGCATAAGGCACACACACTAACTCAGTCAAGACGAAGATCCGACTCAACACAACTGGTACACCACATCCGTCTCCCACCAGATATTTCCTCCAAACTCATCCCCCTCGGCATCATCTGCGCCACACCTCCACCCATGAAGCGAGTTTGGCGGGAGAGCTTGATACAGCTCATGAGGGCAAGAGGAGAACGTCAGCGAGACAGCGGGACGAATGTGCCACCTCGCTTCTTCGTCCTGACCAGCATGATCGCGCAACACTACTACTCGCTTGCAGGACGTCGTCTTCGAGCAGCCTTGACCTCGGCACATCCAATGAAATCCGTTTGATGGAGATATATTTGCCTAGACGTTGCCTGTCCATCCTGGCTTCTCATATCAGTAGGCGCGCCTTCCGCCCCTACACCTTGAGGTACGCCCACTTTCATTTATGTTCTCGCTCTTTATACTAATATCATGCGCAGATTACGCCCAGTATTTGATGTGCACCGTCTGAACCTGAAGCCGGACAGCCTTGTTCGCGAGAGTTCATGCCCGAAACGGTGACTCTTTGAGACACTCGCTGCGTTCCCTTCGATCTCCGCAAACATCCAAGAGTCGTAGAAGAGCGTGCAAGACGGTCGTGATGCTCTCATGGGGAATGGTACGCGTGTGCGGGGTTTATCAATGCGTAAGTCTTCTCTCCTCTCCTTCCCCACTTCATCTCCCACCCCTCTCCCTGGCCACCGCATCGCAAAAGCTCACGCCTTCCTCCAGACAGACTCGCAGACCGCGGCCAAGGCTCGATCCTCGACGCCCTCGACTCTTCCGTGGAAGCTCAGAGGAAACACGAGGCGGCGATCAAGGCGAAGGGGGTGAGAGAGGCGAAGGCGGCCGCGCAGACGACCGCTTCTACTCGACATCAACGTACAACGACACCTACCCCACACACGCCCAACCGCCCCCGCCGACCGCTCCCCCTCCCGAGCATTTTTGGCGTGACAACGCCAGCGGGCGGATGCGGCTTTGTCGCGCAACACGCGCAGGGTCAGTGTGGAGGGTAGGGGGAGGGGGGGAGTGATGATGAGATGTTGTCGTTGGGGCCTATTGGTGGTCCTGCTTCTGCTACTTTGGCCGCAAATGCGGCGGGGACGGGTGCGGACGCGGACGCGGGTGCAGGAGGAGGAAGAGGAGGAGGAGGAGGCCCTGCGGTGAACGAGGACGCACATCCATGTCCCCAACCCGCACGCCAACGCCTTCGAGCCAGACGGTGGCGGCTTCGGGCTCGGCGCTGATCCGACCCCTCCTCATCCTCCTCGCTCACACCAACACGGCCACGGTCACGGCTAACACGCACACGCGCACGGTCAGCATCAACATTAACACGGTCAACACCACATGGTCAACCCAGTCGAACCCCTCGCCCAAACCCTCAGCGCGATGTTTGGCCCCGCGATCAACCAGACTTCTAACGATCTTGCTGCCGGCGGCTCTGATCAAGAAGATGGGGATGAGAGCGACTCGAGCGGGGAGGGGCCGCCGGGGTTGATGCCTCCGGAACGAGATAAGTAGTGATAGTGACAGTGGGGATGGGGGGATGCCGCCGCTCGAGAGGGTCGGCGGAAGGGGAGGGGGGACGGGCTATCATGAGATTGAGGACATTGATTAGACTGCGGAGGGGAGGGGAGGGTTCTTAATGTGTAGAGTACTGCTAGTGCTATGTAATCTGCTATCTTGGTTTGCACCCGACTTATTGGACTTTCTTCCGGTTTGGCCGGGTCGTTAGGTCGTAAGGCCCACGCGTACATGAGCAGGTGATAGGAATCATAGGATGTTGTTGAGAGCGTAACCCTAACCTTATCCACTGTCGCGCCGACGCCGCGAGGTGACAGGTCCAACGGCGTTTGATTCTTGGCTTCAACCACGATGTATACACTCAGTACAATACACTGGACTACTCCTCGAGTGTCTATGAACCTAATGTTCTGGGACGAGTCATACTCGACCTGCTGAAGTGCTGAGAGCTCGACGGTCTAGGGCGCGTACGACTCGGTTGCTTCATCATTTGCAGGCGCGACGTCTTCCTACTACATGTCCTCGACAGACCGCAAATCCCACACCACTTGCAGAAGAAAGTCGCTACATTGTCCCCCTTAAGACCGAGAATGCAGTGGTGCTTGGAGCTCTCGCGGAAGATGAGCTAGGAGCTGGAATACTTAGAGGAACAGGGTCTATTGAGTGCGTGCATCTGCTATTCGTACGCTTGGATGTTGCTGATTAATTTCGGACAGGCTCAATTTCATTTCGGAGGCTACGGCGCACAGAAATGGTAGTATGAATGTGCTGCTGGCTGGCGGACAAGGTGCGTTTGTATATTTTCGAGTCTGATATGCTCGAGCTGAGTTGATGCGCAGATCATGTCCTCGCCGCGCTGGCCTCCTCGTGCTTTCCAGGCAGACTCCGTGCTGCCGCACCCTTGTCAAATGGCCGCGGCCGCCAACGCTCGTATATGAAGTATACGACCCCTCAAGACTACCATGCCTTCACACCCCTAACACGCCCTCCCTCCAACCCCAACCACCCCACCAGCGCAGCCGGGCCAACAACAACCATACACCCCACGCACACACTCGCGGCATGCCTCCCTCCCTCACCTCCGCCTCCATCCGCCACACCGACTCAGCCGGCGACCTCGAAGTCCACTTCGACCCCTGCGACCCGGGACTGAAGTACGCGCTCGTCGCGGATACAGCGAGCTCTCGGGCTCCTGCGGCCGCGTACACCCTGAAAGACGACAAGCGCTTCAAGGACGGTGTACCGGACAATGATATTTGGGTGTACCGCGGTACGCTGCTCCGGACGTCCGAGACGATTCAGGTCGTGGTCAAGGTGGCGTTGACGCCAGAGGCGCTCGAGGAGCTTGTCAACGAGGGCCGGTTTTACTGTCAACGGTTGGACGTTGCGCCGGGTGTACCGGTCCCGGTATGCTACGGCGCGCATCGGGTACTCGATACGGAGCTCGTTCAGGAGAAGATGTATGCGTGGGGATGTCTTGTGCTTGAGGATTGTGGGGAGGCGCTGGGGTCGTTTGATGGGGAGGTTGATGAGGGGTTTCGGTACGCCTGTTCCTTCATTGTGTGGGTTTCATTATCTGATGCCATCTGTAGGTCAAGCCTCGTCAACGCTGTTCTCGCTCTCCACGCCGCTCAGATCATACACGGCCAGCTCGATCCGCGCCATGTTCTACTGCGCGACGGCCGTCCTTATATCGTCGATTTCAGCCGAGCCAGTGCCGTTCATGCTTGTGCCGGCTCTAAGTCGTTATCAGGGCTCGGGGATGACTGTAGGCTCGAGTTCGGACGCGAGATCGATCCTGGGAAGGACGGATTTGGTTGCGATGAGCTGTATGAGGTTTTGAAAGCTATGCGTGTTTTGAGACCTGGTATGTCTCTTAATGTACTTGAGGGCCGATATTATGATGCTCATGCAATTCAAGCGACACTGCGCATGTGCGGCACGGACCATTGGGACGCACGACTAATACAAGACCCGCAAGCGCTAGCCGACGAGGCTCTAGCATGGCAAGACGGACTCACCGCGACAGAGGCGTTCGAGGTGGCGCATGAGGCTATACTCAGATATTACCGGGAGTGGATGCCTGGCTCGGATGAGGTTGCGCGTCAGGAAGATGCGTGTGCGGATTGTATTTCTTGAGTTGTGGTGGGCTGTGCTTACGAGGCGTGAATAGCGTATGTCCGAGGAGCGCGGTATCGAGATGATATGAAAGCGTATGCGGGGTCGGTGGGCGGACGGTGATTGTGTTGCAGACGGCTGTACTAGATATGTCTGATCACGCAATATGTATGATGGTACCAGAGGGATACCAGTGAGAACATTGCGCGCCCCAGGCAATCATCATTGATTGAATATATGGCGGCGAAGGCTACGCCGCCGGGGTGTCGCGGCGGAAGGGGATAGGCTGCTATGCTCTACTCTTGATATGAGCTTTGGGAATCGTATAGAACAAGAGTCTGTTTGTTTAGCAGACTTTCCTGACTGTCACGGCCCCGGAGCGGTGAGATAACCCTAACCTAGGTCGCGGCCCAAACACCCGATGATCGAGCAAGCGTCGAACAAGTCCTCAAGTCCTTGTTCTTGACCACCATCCGGACACTCTCGCCCACCGTCGCTCATCCATGACACGAGATCGACCGTCATACGCGATGCCAAACTTCTTCTCCAGTCAACAGTACTTCCTGAAGGACCTTGGGAATCTTTGCATCGTCTCAGCGCAGCCGGTCGCGCGCACGTCATAAGACTCATGTCCATCGCCGCGCGGTAGACAGCGGGGTCTTTCTGGAGTATGAAGAGGAGAAGGCAACAGCTATCGGTAGCGTCGTTGAGTCCAGAGTGCGTCTTGCCCACAATCGCTCTGCTCTCACCGGTTATTGACGTACAACACGCAGGGAGACCTTGATGGCCGTCTCTACCACCCCACAACTCCTCTCATTTCTGAAAAACACCCGCCAACCGCTTTCGCCTTCGCGCCCCTCCGCATCACCTTCGACGGCATTGTGCAGGCCAGACGCGGTCGACTCCCAACAGAGACTCATACTCGTGCCGTGGAGCAGACGTTCGTCGGCGCACTCAGCACCGGACGGTGTTTACTCTCCGTCATCGGCGTGTTGAAAGCCGGACGGCCTGAGAACAGTGTATACGTCTACCGCGCAATACTCACGCTGGCCGACGATGTGGACGACGCCGGAGTTGCGGTTGTCGTCAAGGTGGCGGCTAGCGAGGACGCGCAGAGGAGGCTCGTGGAGGAAGGACGATTGTACGCTGGATGTCTGGCCGAGCTGCAGGGCGTGCATGTTCCGTCATGTTATGGCGCATACGATGTGCGCTTGCCGGAATCCGCGCGAGGGCTCAGAGACGCGTATGGTTTTTTGATGCTGCAGGATTGTGGAAGCCATGTTGCGTCGTTTGAAGGAGCCGACGTCGACGAGGATTTCCGGTACGTACTGTGTTTGCTCCGTCGTCGAGACTTTCATCCTGAGCTGATGGTATTATAGAGATGCGACGTTCTCTGCGCTGAAGAAAATACACGCGGCGGGGGTCATGCACGGGGATATACAGCCGAAACACGTCGTCAGAGGCGTCGAAGGGAGATCATTCATCGTGGACTTTAGCAAAGCCAGCAGCGGTCACGCCTGTACGAGCCTGGATATGGCTTGGAACCAATTCCTACTCTTCGATCAGCCTCAGTGTCCTAAGATATACCGGGCAGCTCGGGAATTGCGCGTTCTTGCTCCAGGTGAGTCTTCGCTCTTAGATCTTACATGATATGGGCGATGCACTGAGACCTTCCGCCAGACGAGTTCGAATGGTACGGCACCCTCTTCCCAATCACGTACCTTAACCAGGCGGAAGAGCTCGCGCGTCGCGCGCCTTCGAGCTACGATGAGGTCCCTGCGCTTGCGCTGTGGGACGCGTATGTGGCCATCTTGGCTTACTATAAGGAATGGTTCTGGGACGCGGCAGTCGAGCTATCCGGTGCGGATGCATATGTGACTCGCGATTCTTGGATATCGGCTCATGAGATGATGAAGGACGTCTGCAGCACTGTTTGGTTAGGGACTGTGAGGCTTTTGCGCGGAGAAGGACGGAAGAGGCTGACGCGACGCGGGAGATGCAGGGCTAGTCTCGAAGACCGGCGGGTAACTTCGACCCGCGACATTCAGCATTGTGTATCGTAGAGTAGCCCACCATCGTGGTGTTGTACGAGTTGGATATGCGGCACTCGCATAGCGACAAGCTCGGGTCAATAGCTAGAACGGTAGTAGCTGAAATAGCAGTCTACTAGAGGCCGCCTGAGCTGGCGATGCGCGAAAGTATGGAGCGAATTCACAAAAGTCAAGGATTAAGAATAGATGCAATCAGAATGTCAGGCGAGCCAGGCGTTGTCATGTGTGTATGGAATATACGAGGGCGCGGCAGATTAACCCTAACCCTATTCGTGATCAATCTAGACACCGCGCCCGCGTCGCACGAGGCACGTCGCACGACGCGCTCAGACGCTCCTCCCCACTTGCTTCTGACCACCACCCGGAGTTCCATAACCCTTCGCGATCTGCTCCATCCACGAAATGTACACTATATGACCGCAGAAGCGCGTACGCGTTGAACGAAGATATCGCATACGTCCGGCAAACACTACGTAAAGATGACCTCCGGATTCCGCACGCCGTCTCGACGCCGTTGAAACGTCCCTCCAACAAGGCTTCTGACTCGAACTTCAGTCTCAGCTGCCAGAAACTCCCTTCTTTATCTGCTTCCTCGCTCTCGCGAGATGTCCATCGTCGCAGCGGACGTGAAGGCCTTCGTGGAGTGGGAAGATGAAATAGACGTCTTTCTCCACGAGGGCTTGACTCTCCGAGCCGTGGACGCCACGGCTGTCGCGCAACTGCCCTTTGAGCATTGCAAGCTGCTTGCCGACGGCGCTGCGCTGAGGGAGCGCGGAAGACTGAACGAGGTTGCCGTTGTTCGCGGAGTCATCGTCGACGCGGACAGTTCGGCGTCGGAGCCGAAGGTGCCGGTCGTCGTGAAGCTAGCCACTACCAAGCGCGCTCTCAGTAACCTCGTCAACGAAGCCAAAGTTTACAGCGAGAAGCTGCCTGACCTGTCCAGTGGGACCGGCTGTGTACCTCAGTCCTATGGCATCTACGAAGTCATCAATCGTACGACTCGGGATCCCGATGAGCTTTGCTTTGGGTGTATGATTCTTGAAGATTGTGGCGAACCCGTTATATCTCTACGCAACTCAGGGGCGGAGGACGAGGTTCTGTTCCGGTACGTCTCTCTGGTGTCTCTTCTGAGTATTGTATAGCATGGCTAACGTTCTCTACAGCACTCGCCTTGTAGCTCTCGTCTACGAGCTCCACAAACGAGGTATCACTCATAACCAAATTGAAAATAGACATGTTCTCCAGAAGAATGGGTGGCCGTACCTCATCGACTTCAGCAAGGCCACGTTCGATCACGATTGCCCTCGGAAGTCCGATAACTTGAACGATCAGGACTACGGCGCGACTGTACACCCCTCCGCGAAGGAGTTTGGCTGTAAGGAGATCTACGAAGTATGCCACAGAACGAAGATGTGGTTGCCGGGTACGCAGCTCATTCTATGCTCCTTATGCACCCATAGCTGAGCAATCTGATAGTTGAATTCATGTGTGAAGGCTATCCTTGGACTGCCCGCGTGTTCCTGGACAACCCTTGGGCGTTGGCCGACAAATTCGTTGACAGTGGCTCCTTCGACGAGCTGGCGCCTCAGTATACCCCTCGGGAAGCTCTGACCTTGGTGCACGAAGCAATTTGCGACTATCATAAGAAGTATCTGCCCGAACGTGGCGTAGAGTATGAAGGTGCAAAGCTTGATCTACTGGTCGGTCAGGACGGTCAATGCTCATATATCGATAGACGATCTTCGGAGGAACCTGGACAAGTATTGTCAGGAGTACGAGAACGAGGTTGCTCGGCGTTCTATACAGGAGTAGACGTAGGCTGTAGATCAACAATCGTCTCACACATGGCTTGATGCAATCTGTGGACCTCTGTATTCTTGAGTAACAACCCGATGATCCCTTGACCGTTCATCTCTGACTGAGGTGCTGCCGTCACCGCGTGCCACTCGAGTTGATACATGATCGCTCCATAAGGTGGCAACGCTCAATCGACGCTGCGTCTTTCCTCCATGATGCTCGAGATTCTCCAGATGAGCGAAGCTTCAGCGAGAATGAATGCTAGTTAGCTCAAATGGACCGGGACCGGTTAACCCTAACCCTAGCGACGGTGCGAATGCCGCCGCGTCCACGAACGAGGCTAACGAGCGCCCATCCGCACTCGTTCTTGACCATCATCCGAAGTTTTGCTTCCAACTCATTACCCTCGAACAATGACTCTTCCATCCTCCCGGGAGACAACGCATCACGCGAACCCTGTATTCCTGCACATATCTGAGTGCAAATACTACGTAATGGGGACCGTCGGATCCGCGCATCGCAACGTGTGGCGCCAGTGCGACCGTCCAGAGCGACTCTTGACTCGCACACTTGCCCAGCCTATCTCCCCTACGAGCCACTACGGCATCGTCTTTCTCACCTATCCAGGATAGTCGGAGTCCCCGACATAATACCGCATATGCTACGCCACGCCGCTGTCCGGGACTACGACCCTCATGATGGCGAGAACGCGATGTGGCTCACCCCGGGAGTGCACAAACTTGAGCTGGTCCCTGGGACGGCTCGTCTTGATGTGACGCTTCACGAATATGACCTCATCGAGGAGGACATGCTGTCGCGCAACTCCAACGGCGAGGAAGGAGTCATAATATATCGTGCCGTCCTCAACGCTGTCTCGCATACCGTGGACGATGTCAAAGTTGTCGTCAAAGTTGCTATAACCCCGTCCGGCTATAACAAGCTTCTGAAGGAGGGCCGGCTTTACGCTACCGATAGCCTGGCACCGCTTCAAGGCGATATCGTCCCCCTGAGCTACGGCGTCCATCGGGTGACCAATGGCATTGGAGACGAAGCCTTGGGCTGCTTAGTGCTCCAAGACTGCGGCGAGCCCTTAGAGAGTCTGAATCAGACAGAGCATCACTTCGAGTGCGTTTGCCGCAATTACTACGCTTCTTACTTTCTTATCATAAAGTGTCTAGGGACCTGGCCGTCCAAGCACTCGTGCGGCTGCATGATGCCGGTATTCGCCACAACGCCTTGTTCGCCAATCATATACTCGATAATGGCGGCAAGCCGTTTTTTGTGGACTTCGCCGATGCAGAAGAGTCGACGTGCAAGCGCATCTTCAAGGATATACCAGAAAGAGGCGCCGTCGCGCCCGACAAGTCGACTTTCGGCTGCGCCGAGATATATGCTTTCTGTCAAAGGCTGAAGTTCTGGAAGGAGGTTGTAGGTAAGTCGAAACTCTCTCTCGGTCATACTTATGTTGAACTCGAGGTTTTATCCAGACACCTTCGACGCCAAGGGTGGGCCCGTGAGCACGACCTGGGTTGATGATCCAGCAGGACTTGCGCATCTTCTTCTGGAACGCTATAGTACCATGACGCCCGCGATGGCTCTAGAGGAGGCGTATCGATCCATCATTAAGTATTGCGCCGTTGCGATGCCAGACAGAGCGGAAGAGTACCGAGGTACGTCCATAGTAGTGCATGATCCCAAACTACACGGAGATCTAACATATTGCGCGATAGAGCTGGTACAAGGGGAGGAGTTCAAGGACGCATGCAGACAGTATGCAGAGGCTCGTGGCATGGTCGAATAAACGCTTCAATCGAAGATGCGGCACATTGTCGGGACTGGTTTTGTATGCGTTACCGCTATTATTTGGGAATATCTTTGTTTTCCACGTTGTTCCGAAATGATCCGCTCACGTGTACTTTTGACTCCATTCTCGGCTTGCGTAATTCGGTCACTTTGATCTCAACCACCTCTTTCCCAGAGCCCGAAAGGTGACGCGACGAAGGGCATGAACTTGCCCGAAGATCGTGAGGCCGCCAGCATTATCACCAGTCTTCGCTCCCAAACAAATCTGCCTATCACTCCTTTGTACCCCCGACCATCGACGTCGCGATGTCCACCACGCTCAGCGCTACTCTTCGCGACCCTGATTACGGCATGTTATTCAATCAAGATCAACTCCTCCTCGTGTCCGGCACCCAATCGAAACCGTTAGATGGAGAAGACTTGCACTTGACCTCGATATCGGATGCGGAGCTGCTCAAGTACACGCGCAAGAGTGATCCAGACACCTACCGCGTCAGGCTCGAGACGACCATGGGCGACGGTTTCGACGTTATCGTGAAAGTTGCCCAGGATCTTCAGTCCTTTGACAGGCTTGTGAAGCTCGGGAAACTCTACGCTGGTCTATTGTTCGACCGCGAACAACCCTACGTGCCGTTATGCTATGGCGCGTTCAAGGTATCGGAATCAGCCATTCACACTCGCCTCGATACGAAAGGCGTGGGCTGCTTGGTACTTGAGGATTGCGGCAAACCCCTGACTATGTTCAATATCAAAGGTCGCAGGGCCCTGACGGAGAGGTTTAGGTTCGTCTATGGCAGTCTAGATACGCGTAGCCTTTCCGCCTGACGCACAGTACGATTCATGAATAGGATCAGGCTCTTCAATGCTGTTCTCAAGGTGCACATGGCTGGTATCTGCTATCAGTTTGACGAAGACGAGAAGCATGTTTTCGACGTAGATGGCCCACCTCGCCTCGTCGGCTTCACAAACGCCAAGATGAGCGATGAGCCGTGTCTCGAGCCTGGTAATACTCACAAGATACCCATATTCCGCGCACCTTCACTGGATCCGGACGAGTTTCCGCGCTGTGACGCCCTCTTTCTACTCGGCGAGTTCTTGGAACTATGGACTCCAAGTAAGTGAATCGTCTGTTCAGAGCGCAACTGTCTTCGCTGAAGTCTTCTGCCAGACCTCTTTTCCTGCTCAGGGTTCGATGGGCAGACTTTCCCTTACGAGATGTTAAACAAGCCCTTCCGCGTTGCAGATATGAGGCCTTCCTTTCTGTCGAAGAGAGAAGGTCTCAAAGCGGCTATGGAGGGAATCTGCCAGTACCTAGAGAAGTATTATCCCGAAGCCGGTCGTGACTATCGAGGTGAGTTCTCTTGGTACATCTCTGAACAACTGGTTTCATCTGATTACATGGCAGTTATGATAAAGATCAACATGCACAGGTTGAGCGCGGTTTATGAAGCCCGTGGGACTGAACCCAATTTGCTGAGGTTTTTTGACGGGGACCTTCAATGCAGCTGGCAAAGGCCAACGACGGAAAGGAGAGTTTAGACTTTGGGGCTATCCGACAACTCAGTGCTGAAGATAACACCTTATACCATATTGGGAACGATCAGTGAATATCATCGTTCGTGGGATACCCCTCGTACAACCTGAAAGTACTAAGTATTCCGGCTGCAATGTACTTCAAGCCTTTGACGGTCGGTCTGAAGGTTGGGAAGGTGCTGTAGCACCTGGCGGAGTCTAATGGGCGATAACATGGCCCGTTAGATTTGAGCTAACGATGGGTGCCGCGACGGTAAGGCTAACCCTAACCCAAGGGAGACCCGTTCCGGGAATCCCGGCAGCAACCCTCGCGGGTCTCGGGAAGTGCCGAGCACTTGGTGATGGCTGCTGGCACGCTCGACGCGGCAGTAAAGCATGTCTTCACGTCCCTCGCATTCGAATCATAGCCGTGAGGCGCGCGTAGCGCGCCGAACATAGTTGCGCGGGCGCTTCGCGCCCGCGCTGGGACGCCGAAGATGAACATCCGTCGCGGCGCTTCGCGCCGCGCCGCGACGGGGCCGGGAGGATGCTGGTGGGTTGTAGCAGGACATTGTTGGCTGATGCTTCTTCATATGGTCTCAAAGGGCCCGTAGCTGTAGACATGATTATGTACTCTATAGTTCATAGCTGTTGTGACCTAATTTTCACGTAGTGTTTCGTGTATTACAAGTTTATTGTACCAAGAGCACACACGGCTGATTAGCCTTGGCCATCCTCATAGTATAGAATCGACCCGCATGGTATATTACTATGGGGCAGAAGTATATACTCAATGAACCAGCCTTGAACAGACTGCCCCGTCGCGGCGGCGACGGATGTTCATCTTCGACGCCGAGGTCCTCGCTCCGCTCGGCCCTCGGCGTCCCAGCGCGGGCGCTTCGCGCCCGCGCAAAACTATGTTCGGCGCGCTACGCGCGCCTCACGGCTAGGATTCGAATGCGAGGGACGTGAAGACAGGCTTCACTGCCGCGTCGAGCGTGCCAGCGGCCATCACCAAGTGCTCGGCACTTCCCGAGACCCGTGAGGGTGCCGGGATTCCCGGAACGGGTCCCCCGGCACTGTAGGGCGGGGAGAACGTGAAATTCACGAGCCGTTTCACGGCCTAAGCCTGCGAAAATCATAT